TCAGCGTGAATCGCGCGATGATAAGGTACAAAGCAACTTTTTTACTTTTCGCGTTATTGCTTCGCGCGACTCCTCGATTGTGCATTCCGACAACGAATGCACGGTTTTTTGTACGAGTTGGCGTGCTACAACGCAAACTTATATATTTCAGCATGACTCAAAATGAATATAGTTTGAACCTGAAATATTGGCGGTATCAAAGTTTCTAGAAGACAGTTAATAAAACTAGTTTAATCCAAGGCAAATATCCACTCAAATAGAAGGTATTCCGTATGGTTCTCTGAAATTTCTTACGGTAAGACGAAGAATGACGTTTGACAGCTCCTGCGTTTGACAATTTCTATGAATTTCGCCAGTTTGAAAACTGATCTCTTTGAAATTCTTTTGGTCCAAGCTTAGCTATCTCCTCCTTTCAACTATTTTTTTCGTTTGAAAGGGAAAAAATCAGTAACTACTCACGTAGCATTATGAGGGAAAAAAGGCATCATCTTTTGTACGGTTTGAAGAAATTTTAGGTGAGCAAATACAAACATTTCTCTTAGCTCTAAACGAGAGTTGTCTCCTTCTAAGTTGAATCTTATCTATCTGTAGCGTTATAACTGATTCCTTTTACCTTCACTGCGGCACAACTGATCAATCAGTTAATCTTGATTTCACGCTTTGAGAGAGATGTTACCTCGGTGATTCCCAAACCTGGATGAGCCCATAAACGAACGAATCTTATATTAAGCTTTTCGCGGCAATTAACGAAGTACAGTGTAACAAGCGGAAACGCGCCCTAATCAGTGCATCAAAGACAGCCGCATTATCGAAAACATTACCTTGGACAGAAATATTTGCTCCTCTTATAGCTGTAAGATTAAGAAATTTTAACATTCTTTTTCAACAACCGAAAAAAGGAAGGAAACAATCAAATGAATTACAATTTTCCCTGGAGGATTAGGATGTTTTTCAGGAAATATATGGAATTTCAATAAAAAACTCATGGGTATTTTGCTATCTCTTAATTGTCTCGAGGGAGCAAATTGATCGTTAATCCGTGTTCACTTTTGTCTACCACTATTGGAAATCGAATCTTAATTCTTACTTTTTCGTCTTTGAAACATGTCGCTTGGATGTAACAATTTTAATGAGAAGTTGTCATTTTTTTAAACGGACTGAAACAGGCAAGAACATACTTCTGCTCAAAACCTGATGTAGATAACCCAAAGTTCTGTATTTGTCCGTTGAAATAAAACTGCAAAGCTGGTGATTTTTTTCAGTCATCGACTGCACATTTCTAATTTCATGAGGTGATATGAAAATTTAATTCAGTGAAACTTGAACAGTTGAGAACTAATTGCATCTACTTTTTGATTGCTGCTTTAGTTATAGTCTTGTTTTGGTTTTGATTTTTCCCATGGCAGCCCTGTTCCGACACAACTCAAAATCTATCGTATAATTCTATAAAACTAATTGAATGAAACAAGTAAAAGAGAGCAATAGTTTAGCTCGTTTTAAAGTAACACTGATAGTTTTATTATGAATATTAAATCTAATAAAAGGCCTATAAAAAACAGGACATAAATTGCCAGAGTTAGGGAAATTCTCTTTTAGACTTAAAAAAAGAGAACCTTTGCCAGGTTGTTTCATTTAAATTTGCTTTCTTGGTATTTGTTCCTGGCAGTAAGCAGTCGGAATCAACCGATCAATTAAACATAAATTGCGTCTGTTGCAAATTTTGGTTTATTTGAGCTAAAAATAGCAAAAGTTAACAGAAAAGAAAAGGAAAAGGGTTATCTTTAATATTCTTGGAAGATGTCTTAAACTGTTTTGCAACAGGAAAAATGCAGGGTTTAGAATTGTGATAAAAATCGTTTTAAATTAGAATTGATGTACAGGTTGGTATCCTATCGATTTAGGAGATTCGTTCGAATAAATCTTCCTTAATTCTCGTAAAATTTTGAAGGGGAATTGTGTTTATCAAAGAGATTTATAAAGCGTGGGTTGAAGAAAATCATAATAACAATTTGTTCTTATTAAATGAGACAATTTCGTATTGTATTGTAAAAATTGCTATATCAATTTGAAAGCAACGATAAAAAACCTATTTATTTTATACCCGCCAAAGTTGCCAGTAATGGGTCTCTTGATTTCGAAATTAAGGAATATGACATTTAGTAAAAATTTGCCAAAGTGAGGGAAAAAAATTTGACGGAATAGCAAAATATTGGAAATAATCAAATTTTGATATCTAAAATCATGTAGAGAAAGACTCCTTTTCTTTGCCAACGGAGAGACTTAAAAAATATATATTAAGTAACTTTTGGAGAGAAAAATGGAAATCAAACAGCTGGAGATCAAAGTGGCATCGGCTTGTATTTATTCATATGCAATCCAGCGAAGAAAAACACTATTAGTGAAAGATGGCTTTGGTTTTTGGGGCGAAAGGTGCATGATTCTGGCTCTTTCATGAAAAATAACTTGCCGGCCTCGAAACTGGAAACAGCGACTGGAACAAGGTGAAATTCTCAGAAAGATCAAGAACTCGATGAAAGTCACCAAACAAGCAAACTACTTTTCAAGCGAGCGTAATCAGTAAACTTAATCTCAAAGTATCACGCGAAACGCCGTCCACTCTCGATGACAAATGAACATCTCTTCTCGAACGCCACAAGAAAAGAAAACGAAATTCCATCAAGGTTTAATCTCTCTAATTTTGCTCAGTTTTCTCCTCTAATTATAGATTTCTATTTCAAATAGGAGAGATTTTTCTTCTCATATAGTTTCTACAAGAGAATTTACCAGAACACCCCGAACTTGTAACACACACTTCTCCTGTCTCACTTCCAAACGGCTATTACGTATACGAAAGGATGAAAACTTCCATAAGTAATATCAAAGCCTTTGATACCTCTAAAATGTATCTCAATACTTTACTTTCCTCTGGTGGATTATACGCTGATCCGTATATATGCAGATTAAATAAAATCAGTCAGAATAACTGGGAATAATCCTACTTATATTGGAATAACAACAACTGCTGAAGTCGACGGCAAACTTGATTGTTCTCGTCGATAGAATGGAAAGTTACTCTGTGTCCTCTAAAGCAACAAAAGAAGTCACATAGCTTTGTTTGTATCAATTTAAGTACTGCATGTCATTACTCGTGGAATAAGGTGTCCCTTAACTGGGTGAAATTATTTGATAAAATACATAAATTTCCACGCTCTGGTGATCAACCTGATATATAAATGGAATTTCAGTTAGTGTCATCAACCGAGGTGATAACGTAATGTGGCCTCTAAAAAAAAAAACCAAAGCCGACGTTCAAACGTTAGCCTTTAGTCCGAAGGAAACGTCAGCCTCAGAATCTCTAAACGGTGGCCAACCACGTCATCAATTCTTGTGATATTTTCCATCGAGGTAGTACTACAGTCACAGTACTTCGTGTCGTCCAATTCTGTATGTAATCATACGTGTATGATTACAGACAGAATTGGACTCCACTCGGCCTTATTGCCATTAGTAATCAAAACTATAACAAAATTCTTGAACGCGATTGGCCATCACCAACACGATTTGAGCGCTAATAGGAGGGTGTACGCGTCATGCTTGTAATTGGACAGTGTATTAGGACAGTTAAAAGGATATTTACACGTCATGCCTGTGTAAGTGGACAGAATGCGTCATGTGCGCGCGCTGTTGTCTTGCATTTCGCCGAATTAACGGATTTTTTTTTTATGAAAACGTGTAACCGATGTTTAGCTTCTTTCTCAAGTTTTGATTAATTTGATTTTGTCAATGAATAAAGGGGGTAAATTTCTAAAGAAACTGTCGTGCTGCGTCGGTGAGAGAGTATAGCAGGTAATTTAGTGCTAACAAATGAGTTGAAAACGTAAATTGGCCACCGTTAAGGATGAAAAGGCTGACGTTTCGAGCGTTAGCCCTTCGTCAGAGCATTTGGAGGAATTGTGGGTTGTGTGTAGGTTTATATGCAGAAAATAGAGCTTCGCTATTGGTGGGAATATGGTGACGAGAAAACAAGAATAAATTAGTTGAATGAAGAGCGCTCGTTGATACCGTGGGGATTCAGAGTGCCGATTTGGAAGATAAATTCTTGTTCTAGTGTTTTGCGGCTTTCCGAACTGCCCAGATGAGAGAAAAGACCGCAAACTGCAATATGTTGTTTAGAATGATTAGGGAGGTTTAAGTGTTTAGCGACTGGTTTGGATGCGTCCTTGCCATTTCTTTCTACGTCGCGAACGTGTTCTCGGAATCGGTCATCTAGTCGATTTTGTTAATCACGAATATGACTTCAGACAGAATTGGACGACACGAAGTCCTATTACCATTATTAACTCGGGCTGGTGATAACCAATAACTAACGAGACTAACTGTTACAGTTTTGATTATTAATGATTACCTAACTGTCAATTTTCTGCACGTTTGACTCAAATTGTGATTATACTCTTATACACTCTCTCCAACAATAGGAACCTACCAAAAGCTAGCCTTTTCCAGTTTCATTTTAGTTAGACATAGACCAAAGGTCAGTTACGTAATAGCTCTGAGTTTCATGTGTGATTAGGCACGTGATTAGATCTAACTTGTCTCACTTCCATTTCTAACGATAGCAACGCACGTGAGACTGACGTAGCTGAAAACGACGCTATTATGTAATCATAATTCTCCGCCTTTGGGTATCAATGACGTGAGATATTTTATGTGATTCTCAGAGTATATTTAACACACTTAAGCAATAAGCTACTGATTTTGTTTTCAGATCAGAGTCAAAATTTACAAAACAGTTGCGAACTTAAAAAAAAAACATTCCCAACACCAGGTCTCGTGGCACGTGACACGAGACATGCTCGGCCTGTGGGACAACTCTATTACATAATTACAATTTTCTGCTTTCTTTAACGAGGTTACATGTAGTAAGGACTTAGTAAGCCAAAAAATCGTCAGTATGTAAATCAAAGGATACAGCCTTACAATCCTGAACTAAAGGTTTAAGTTCAGAAACCTTTGTTGCAAAAACAGAAAAAAGTTTGGAGTTTTTCTTGTAAGCACCGGGGGACGGCCTTTCCAGGAACCAAACATGCACTGCTACCATGTCTTCGCTTTCTGCTGTAAACTTCAGCGTCGTATGTAGGTCTTCGCGAGTGTCGTGACACATTAACCGACGAGTTAGCCTGTAAGGCAAGGCTATAAATAGAGAAAACGGAAACAAAACCACCCAGAAAAGAAAGCCATTCACATACGTTAGAGAATGAAACGGCTTGCTATGATTTGTCAGCCAAAATGCCGTGTTATGCCAAGAAACATACTCCAGAGAATCCTTGTCTTGTAGGTTCGTGGGAGTTAACTCCTGTAAAATTCGCTTAATGTCAATCATGATGCAAAACTTTTTCCCTTTAAGAACTTTTCTCTTCATCGTTTTCAAGCTTTCATTGATTTTATCTCTTAGCACTTCCGGAGGAAAGATTACTGCGAAGTCGATGTCGAACCCATTTATGGAAGTTAGTTCTTTTTGTAGAAAGTTTTCCACAGAATCTGAGCTAGCCGTCTTCGTGGTACTCCCAAATTGGTGTCTTCTAGTGACGCACATCAATATTGGCTTCTCTAAAATGTTGCTTAAATCCTTCATGTTGGCCTCATTCTTTACAGAGATCATTTGCTTGTGCACGTTCACGATTGCGCTCACCTCACCCAATGGGCTAAAACTGTCGTTGCAAGACAAAACGGTGATTTTTTTAGGGTCGTACTGGATCCAACCCGGTTTCACTTCTTCGTCAAAACAAAAGCAATCTTTTAGTTTTTGACTGTCATCACCACTCTTCTTAATCACGAGACTCGGCAAACAGGTAACAGGACAAAAGCTGACGGCCTTAAGCATTGCTGACCCTTTGCAAAACCACCCGTAGAGTATCGCTATGGTGTAGTTTGTCAGGTCGTGTTCACAGCCACGGGAGAAATAACTTTTAGCGTCTACAACAATGCTCTTAAAGATGATTAGGTATTAACACGTTAAATTATTTCTTTTTGTACATTCCGCTTTCCTGAGGGGACACCAGTCAAGCATGTAATTGATTATGTAACACTTAAAGTGCCTATGGCCCCCACCATTTTTTTTTTTGTGTGCATTTTTTGGTCAATAGCTGTATTTAAAATCAGAAATAATCGACCTTAGCGCCTCGCGAGTTCTCCTTGACCATTTTTTGGTGCATTGAAAGTACGATTTGGCGGCCAAAAAGTGTCTCCATTAAGCGCGCGGCCAAAACGATCATGTTACATAGCTGTGACATGTGGAACCGGTCAGTGTAAAACGCAGACTGCAGACTGCAGACCGAAGGTAAATTGCAGACTGAGAGTAAAATAACTTCAAGGGAAGTAATGTGTGTGAGAGATGTCAGTTGTCACTTAAAATTTCGGCTATTTATCAGTTCTCAGTTAGATTTTAGGCCAGTTGTCTGTTAAATGACTGTTAATAATTAACTTGGCGAGTTAATTATTACTTTTCGACCCTAATTTTTGGCTATAAAGGCACGTACAGCTAAAACTCGAAAATTAAGTCGAAAATTGATATAATAGGATTTGCTTTTTATCAATTATGGAATGAAATAATTCCAAGATCTTCCAAGTGACTTTCAGTCTTTGTTGGAAGGGTGTTACAACTCTTCTGCACGCAAACTTCTATTTGCCCATGCGCAACATTGAAACATTCCTTTTCAACCCATTAGCCGGTCAAAATGTTGAAAAGAAGATCGTCAGAAAGACAGCAAACTTGTGAAGAGTTCTCTAGCACAATATATTTGTTTATGTTTTGTTTTACAATGCGTCGATTGCGATTGGCTCCGATGAAATGATCGGAAAGGAATGTTCTTTTGTCTACTTTTCAATTAGGTTATTAGAGAGATCTACTGTAAGCGTACCGTAGAAATCCAAGCGAAAATGGGCGCGAATTGGCCGCCCGGATCTAGAAACCGTAATTGGGGTAATATCTTAATCCTCTCGGTGAGGAAAGTCGTTTTCTGAGTCCGTGGCATATTCGTCTGCATATTTCCGCAACTGCTACTTCAACGATACAGTCGTCAACAAATGTGACATCTGTCACATTCCCGCCTTCCGAAGTAGCTTGAACAGCTCCTTTGTTGCTGCTGGGCCCTACTGGCTGATCTCCAAAGTTATAATCGTTCCCTAGTCCCGCCAACAAGTCCACTTTGGTGGAATCTTGTTGCTTCGTGAGCTGAGACGGCCGGTGGTAAAGCCCCTGTCTTGCCCTTGGTAGTTTCCTCCCGAACTGTCCTTTGCCTCAACGGACGATACTTCCCTACGGATTCTTTCATAGCACTTTCAGTCTCGGGGTTGATCTCCTCTGAAGGTAGCGGTCGCATTAAGTTGACATTTGCAAACTCCGTGCTGGTGTGGGGGACACGATAGTAGGATTTTTCATAAGTAAAATACTTGGTTGCCTATTTTGTAACTCTCTTCAACGACTCCTTGGTAATTATCCCAAAGTCTTGGGAATACGGCGATGCGGTGAGGGTCTCATGCTTAAAATGGGAAACTGCGTGTAGATTGTCCACAACTGTCAGTTTGAGTAATGGGCACAATTCAATGTCTTCGAGATAATTGTTGTCAATTGAGGCTATGCTGTTGCGCAGGTGGTGCATTCCTTCTTTGAGAAGTTTAAGTGAGACTTGAATTTTATTAGACACAGTTCCTTCAGGGCCGTTGATTGCTGTGGTTTCCTTTATACTGTGCCGTTGTTTTACCTCAGAAACGGTCTATGTGATGTTGTCATTTACATACGATTTACATACGGCATCTTGAAGAGACATGTGTGCTTCCTCTATGCTTTAATGCTTTTAAATCGGTATCTATAAGCGTTCCATACTACCGAGTAGGCTTTCAACTGATAAATTTATATCAATACTAAATATCAAACCATTCCAATAAATACTGTTTAATTCGTTTCCTCTTCCAGCCAGTAAGGTCGGAAGCTCCAGATTCCATTGCTCGTCCGCAAAATTGTCACTCTTCCCTCTGATTTCGGAGCCATGTGATAAAGTTTCACATCAAATCTCCTAGGCCATTTTTACTGGACAACTCCTTTAGGCTAAGGAACGAAATAAGGTGCTATTTCAGTGCCAGTATGGTGTTTACATTATTAATAGGAATGCGGCTTCTGTGACGCTCAAATGTCGTTCACGAGTCAATTCGATAAAAGTTTACAACAGCTTTAAAAAAAACCAGCATTGATGGCCATCGCGTAATTTGATCGAGTTGGGTATCAAAGACCATATAACCGATGTGTGACATATGACGTTGATGTGGATGGTCCATGCGGTAATTATTGACGAAATATGGCACTCTGGCGTACTCTTACTGATATGTAATAAAAAAAACGTACTTTAATTAGACAAAATAAATCAACTGCGACAAATGCGACCACATCGGTCGCAATGGCGAGCCCTGATTAACTATAAATCTCATGTGACCCCACGTGACCCCAAAGTCGAGTCTGCATTTTACCCCTAGTCTGTTTCAGTCTGCATTTTCACCCCGGTCTACAATCTGCAGTCTGCGTTTTACACTGGCCGATTGATAAACAGTTTTTTATTCTCTTCGTTAAAAGCTACAATTATAACAACCTTTTGTTCAGCAGAAGGTTATTTTGGAAATGTGCTTCGATGAAACTATACAATTTATGTTCGCGGGCATAGTTGGGCCCCATTTAGGGTCGTTTTAGACCGAGCTGCAAGGTGAGGGTTAAAATGATCCTGAGAAGGGTCCAAACATATTAATGATCGTAAACCATGATAATCTCCATTTCCATTATTATAACTTTGCAAGGTACTGAGAAAATTGAAACCAAAAAATGACAGCTAAACAGTGCGAACAATCAAGAAGGCTATTCGCGTTATGATAGGTTCGTTTCTCGTCATAATTAAAAGGAACAACACGTTTGTACAGCGCCGATTGTTTCTTCCTTCTGTTGAGAAGAGTCTGTTCTTAATAAGGAAATTATGTTTGCTCGGGTTGTCGAACTTTGAGTAGAATTCCATTCAACCAGGGGGGCATTGGGGTCTATTAGAAACCGCAAACCGTCGTTAAAAAAACATCCACAACCGCGAAACCGCAAAAAAATTCAGTCAAAACCGCAAACCGCATGCAAAACCGTCAAAACCGATAAATTTTAACATCCCAGTTATCAAAAGCCTAATCGTTCCGATGCAGTAGTGACTAGTGGAGCATAAAGAGGTTTCGCGGTTATTCGAGATCAGTGGAGGCGAATAATTGCCGTTCAGATCTAATTCAAACCGGAACCCAAAGAGGAAAAACCGAAAACCACATTGGATACCAAATCCGAAAACTCATTAGCATTTTTGACGAAAACCGAAAATCAAGTGCAAAATAACGGAAAATCCGCAAACCGCAATGAACAGCAAAACCGAAAAACCGAAGTTTTCGGGTAAAAAAAACCGAAAAGCGAATCTAAAAAAAAGCCAAAACTACGAAGCCGAAAATCCCAATGCTCCCCCTCATTTAGGGATGTAATGGTTGACATCACCATTCTGTTCAGACATGTGAATGCTGTGTCTTTTTAGTTATATAATATGGGTGACTCTGAACAGGTACAAAGGTAATGCATCCATGTCACTTAAAGCCGCATAACTCAACTGCTTCGAAAGTATTACTGTGGACACCTGGCAGTTTCAACGCATTCTTGATCATGCTTGGTATTTGCAAGATTAGCGTCTTCTTGGTGTTTCGTTGGTGGTAAAAGTATGAATCATGTATTGGCGCGAAATGCAAGGGTGGACTGGTGCATGTTGGAAACATGACGTGGGGTAGAGTACTTTACTTTCTCTTCTGGAAATTTCTCAAAACTGAGAGGGATGTTTCTTTTTTGCCTTGTTACAAACGTGAAACACCGAACAACTTTTGTATCCGAATGAGGAATCGCACCTTAGACCTTCAGAATACGCGCTCCGTGACTTTACCACTAAACCACCTAGATCCTCTGATAAGTTAGGCCTTCACTGAGTTCGTATGTAACATGCATTCTGCATACTGCTGATCTGAAAACGTCGAAATCTTCACCGTCTTATGGGGCTACATTTGGCAGGTATGTTAATGAACTTTGGCCTCGCCCTTTGGTGGTTAGTTAGCTTTCCATTGCCTTCCTGCATGTTCAAATACCCTCGATGTAAAGTCTTTTCCCCAAAAGATTACTACCCGTGGCTTATGCACAGAAACAGGATCGATGTAAGATCTGTTTCTATGATTAGTATATGTTTTTAGGGTTCACAATCTATGCATGCGACATGCACAAAAATGGTTCTAAATTTATCATATACTGAATAAAAAATGTATAACGAAGGGGACTGTAAATTGAATAATCTTGAACTTTCCCCTCTGGTTATCGTATATTTTTCAGTTGGCGAGCCAAATCTTCGCACTCGCCGCTTTCCGCAACGCACTTCAAGGGTAGTTCACGCAATCTCGAGCGATATGGTTTCCAAGTAATGATATTTTCTTGCGACCATACCGCTTACAAGGAGCCTAATGACCTTGGGCTCAAAATAATTGGGACTGCACGGGATCCACGGGAACTGGATCCTAATTATGAGCCCACTGACTGGCAGAGGTCTAAGGCATGAATACTGTAAAGGAAAAAGGATATCAGGCTCTAAATAGCTTCTAGTATTACTGACTTGTTAACAGTCATTTATATTGAGGACATTCAAGAGGGCTTTGATGAGACCTTACGGAAAAGGAGTGTAAAGAACTCTCTGACAGAAATATTTTGGCTTTTTCCCGACCAGAAGCGATAGTTTGTTGAAGGCTTTGATATACTTCATAAAGAGGACCTGTACTTTTATTACCAACCTTTGATATTTCGTACATTCTCATTCGTATTTCTTTCGTGAAACGTTCCCTCTACACATGCCGCTGAGTTTGTGTGTTTGATATATTCAAGGAATGCGACATCTATCCTCAACGCCTGGTGGTAAATTTTCAAGAAACTTCTGTCTACAACTGAGTCGCTTGACGAAATTTTTGGAATCCCGCGCTGTCACCTGCGCAGACAATTTTTCACCACGCTTGTTGCCCAAGTTTACAACAACGCGGACGTAAAGTTGATAGTTAAAGGGAAATATGGTGGAATCCCCGTCTGCGATGAATGTTGATCTGAGTGTTATGAAGCGAATGGTAAAAGACTTTACGGCAGGCGCCATTGGGGGTACTGCATGTGTGATGGCGGGACAACCTTTCGACACGATTAAGGTCAAGATGCAGACTTTCCCGTCGCTTTTCAAAACTGCCTTCGGCTGTGGTGTTAAGACATTGAAACAGGAGGGATTTCGTGGACTATATGCAGGAACAATCCCTTCATTAGCTGCTAACATTGCGGAAAATTCTGTCTTGTTCTTATTTTATGGTCAATGTTTAACGTTAGTGAAAAAGTTAGTGGGGAAGAAAGATGAAAAAGAGTTGAGTATATTGAATAGAGCGTTTGCCGGGAGTGGAGCAGCAGTCTTCTCTTCGTTTGCATTATGTCCAACAGAATTAGTGAAATGTAGGCTTCAAGCACAACATCAAATGAATATTATGGCTGGAAAAACTGGGGCTAAGAGGTAACAACTTACTTTACTAATCCCTTTCACTCCCAATATCTCACCAGAAATTCTCCTTACTCTCTGTCAAACCATTCTTATGATGTTACTATGGAGAATTTGGTATTTGATCAATTAATAATCCCCTTATTGGTACTCTTCTTCATTCTCATTGCTTGTCTGCTTGATATTGTATCAATATTTTAAGGAGAAATTCTGTCTTGGTCACACACAGGAGTTAAAGGGTTAATTAACCTAATTGTATCTTTTGAAAGTTGCCGCTGATAGTGAAAATATTTGCAGATGGTAGTAAGAGGTCTTTTTTTCATTGAACCCCTTGTGAATGATCAAAAAATGGCATTTTTATTCCTCCACAGTGGTGTAGTGCAAGTGACAATGCAGATCATTCGTGAGGATGGTTTTTTGGGTCTTTTTCGAGGCATGACGTCAACATTGGTCCGTGAAGTACCTGGTTACTTCTTCTTCTTTGGAGGCTATGAGTTGAGCCGATATTTCCTCACCCCAGAGGGAAAAACTGTTGATGATCTCGGTAAGATTTATTTTCAATTTGAATTTTAGTTTGATGTTGTGATTGCATGATATGTTGAATCCACACTGAGGATTGAAAAAGTCTAGAACTTATTTAACCCTTGAAAGTGGGGCTGCTTCTAATTTTATTTATCGCAATGCTACTGAATCATCCATCAAGATCATAAAAGTATAGGAAATAATCTAAGAATTATCTAAGAAAAAAATCAAAGAAAATTTGACTGAAGAAGTTTTGATTATTTTAAAAAATTCTCCTTGTCAGTACTAAAGGAAAAGCATAGAGAAGAGTATTGAGAATTTGGATACTGATGTTGGGGTGTAAAGGGTTAAGTATGTTTGTGTTGATTGGTTTCCAAGTTTTGAACTTAGATAATGTCATAAATAGACCGTGTTGCTTCCTGGAGTGAAATTGCTTAATATTTGTTTGAGTGACAGTACAACTGGTTTCACTGTTAGTTGCTCAGAAAACTATTTTTTTTAGATAAAGTGAAATCCACCTTGTATTAAGATGTTTAAGTCTTTCCATTTGTCCTCTTCATGAAATATATTTCTGGCCACTGTGAACTCAGTGTTTGCCACCAAGATCTGTGTAGATAGAACTAAGATGGTCCTAACTGAACTTTTATCCCAATCACAGAGATACAACTTGAACAGTCTTCCCAGGAATTTTGGATATGAAAAGTACTGAGGATGAAATTTCAACTCACTAATTGATCTTTTATCTCACATATTAACCCCTTTACTCCTGTGATATAATTTTCAATTCTCCCCTCTAGCTGCTACAAATTTCCTTGTTATGTAATTACAAGAATTTGGTTTTAGACAGGTTTACAGTCAAGTCGCTCGAGAGTCATCTCGCCTGAAGTCATGTCGCCTGAAACCTGAGTCATGTTGCCCAAAATTTTAATTATGTTCCCCGAAGAAACAAATACTGAAAACATCAGAATTTCAGACTGTAAATAGGCTATGAAGTTGGGAAATTTTTATCATTAAAGCAACTCCTTGAAGATTCTAAAAGTGTTGTTTGTTCCTTTCAACGAAGGGAAATGTTGTTCATTTCTAAAAACAAAATGAAGTGTTGTTCATTTGGTATGTAATCGTTTCTTACTCACAGATGTTTCGTAAGCTTGGGAAACTTTATCTTTATTTATTTTAACAATACCATGACATGTAAAGTTCTGTTGTGTCTATATGTGACTTTCTTATCAATAACAGATGAAAAAACTTGGTAAACAAGTGTCGATTGTCACATTCAACAAGTTGGTGAAAGGTCAACACTTCATTTTGTTGTTAGAAACGAACAGCGCTTCCCTTTGTAGTTAGAAACGACCAACGCTTTTAGAATTGTTACTCAAACATATTTCAATTCCAACCATACGATCAATTTTCTGTGTGGTCAAAGTCATTGTGGTGTTGTTAGAAACCAAGAAAGAGTTTATCAAGCTTACGAAATGTCTGTGAGTAAGAAATGAGTACATACCAATGAACAATGCTTCATTTTGTTGTTAGAAATGGGCAATGCTTCCCTTTGTTGTAAGAAATGAACAACATTTTTAGAATTGTTACTCAAATGTACACTGAAATTCTGATGTTTTTAGTATTTGTTTCTCTGGGTGACTTGACTTTTTTTTTCTGGTAACATGACTAAAATTTCGGACAATGTGACTCAGGTTTCAGGTGACATGACTTCAGGCAAGATCACTCTCGGGTGACTTGACCACTTACCATTAGACATGAGAACAATTTGTACCTGATGAGTTAAAGTATACTCATTACCTGTTTGCTGGTTTACATATGGATATTGTAAGGAGAAGTTAAGGGGTTTAATGTATGCTTGTTGTGTTACTATGCCTTAGACTTGGCATTTCCAATATGAGCATTAAAGGTGTATCACTGAACAGTTTAAGTGATTGTAATTTAAGTATTTTACACTTTTGTAGGTGCTGTGCGGCTTACTTTTTGTGGTGGTATTGCTGGTGTTTCTCTCTGGATTGCTATATTTCCTGCTGATGTCATCAAGTCTCGCATCCAGGTACTTTTACCACAATGTGCACTGTTCCTTGACACTCTGCAATCCAGTCTCCCTCCATTTTTGCTCATAGGCATTAAGGTTACACTACTTTCTCAGCAATTACTTTTAATATTTGATTTTTTTCTATAGTTGTAATTTTTTTTTGACAAGTTATCCTAAAGAATCCAAAGATGAAGGATCTTGTAACCTTTTCTCCTTTAGTGTTATTCTTCTGTTGTTGCTCTGTAAATACTTTACAACTAAAAAAGTAAATCTATGACTTTAAAAGTATTTAACTTCTCAGTGCTTTCCTTACTCTCATTAAGTCAATTTTTTTGTCTGCTTTTATCACTAAATTTTTCCAGTTAAATCTTTTTTACCAATTGAAAGAATTTTGTATTTATCCCTTTGACCCTTAAGAGTGGCTGGCATGAAATTTCTGCCTATAGTATCACCCAGAATCACACTTTAAGGTCATGAGAATAAAAGAAATGATCGCCAACAAAGGAAGCTCTTGATTGTTAATCAAATTCTCTTCATCAGCACCTTAGGAAATGTATAGAGAACAGTGTGGAGAATGTGCATAATGATATTAGGGTGTAAAGGGTTATTTGAAGTCAGTCACCTTTGCTCCCAAGATCTGAGTGTTAATTTTCCCTTCTAGCTGCCTCACATTTCCTTCCAAATCAGTAAGGAGAATTTGGTCTTACATCAAGATGACAACTTTCACCCAATAAGTTGGAGTATTCTTGTTACCCATTTTCTGGACAATATATGGATGTCATGGGAAGAAGTTACATGTTAATCACTTCTGGGTGATAAAAAGTTGTGAGCTGTTGCACTAGTAAGCTGATCTATGTGATTAAACCTACATTGATAACTTTTTTCTGTGCAGATACTGACGCAGGGCTCTGACAAAGTACCAGGCTTCTTTGAGACAATGTTTCAGATTGTTCGTAATGAAGGTACGTAATGTGCATTTAAAATATACACAATACTGTGTTGACTGACACTTGCCTGGTAATTAATTGTCTGAAGTTTTTCAACCAGCCAAAATGATTCCCTCCAGATGGAAAGGCCTATGGAATGTATTTCCATTTAAATCTGGTGCCTTAATTAATTTTAAAAAATCCAGGAAGGTAGACAGGTTTTAGGGGTAAGTTTTTTGGTTTATTTGTTGTTGTTGTTGTTGCTGGTGTTGTCATTGCTTTGAGAAATTTGTAATTGATAATAGATGGAATGTTTCCAGTGAGTGTGCTTCAACTCTATGTTTTTTATTTAAATTGGAATATTCCATTAAGACATTTAGTTAATTTTTTAGAAAATGTTCAGTGTCAACTTGAGTTATTCATGAAAATGTGTTCCTACAAATATCAAAATGGTTGCAGATTGCACAAAATTTTCATGCTTCATGGTGTAAGGTTAATTCTTAATTGTACAGTTTGCTAAACCACAGTTATTCAAAAGTTCCATTTTTGTTAATTTGGATTATCTTTTTTCATACAGGGCCAAGAGCTTTGTATAAGGGCCTTGGACCAACACTCATACGATGTTTTCCAGCATGCGGAGCTTTGTTTGTGGCATATGAAGGAACACAGAAACTGCTGGAAAATGTTTAATTCACTCTGCTCACTTCTTAGTATTAAGTAGAGTAGCATGGCTACATGTAGGGATAAAGCCAAATGTCTTGTTTGACTTACAGTGATATTTTCTCGTGTGAGCCAAGGGAAACTGCAAAAAGATGCTATAAGCAATAGAACAGAAAACTCTTAACTCAAGCACAGTAGCAAGGAATTATCTGCCCATTTTAATAGCTAATGATGCAATAATTATTTGTAATAATGAAAGCCATCAAGTTCATCTGCTTATAAGATGTGCTTGCAGAAATATGCTCACACAGATAAAGTTGTTTAACTCATTTACCATTTTTTTGTCTTCTGAAACCTAATGTTACTGGAACCATAAATCTTTCTTTAGTGATGTCAATGAGACACAAAAAGGCACTTTTAAAAAGGGAAAACAATGTGAAGATTCATCCTGTTACCACAAGAAGTTTGGTATCTTCATTGCATGCCATGATAAGAAATTCTGGCATTTCGCCAGTATCTATGTTATTACTGACACAAATTATTCAACAGTTTTAACATATATTATGCAAAGATATTAATAATATTTCATTTTTATAAGGAAAGCAAAGGGAATATACCTTTGGAGTGATGAATCACTGATTGTGAATGTATTAAAGCATACATGTGAACTGAAGTTCACAGTCGTTGATTCATCACTTCGTGGGTGTATTACAAACCAACATAATGATCAGCTCACAGTTGGCTTATTAGCTCAGTTGGTAGAGAACTGCTCCAGTATCACAGAGGTCATGGGTTCAGATTCTGTACAGACCTGAAGTTTTTTTCTACTGATTAAGTAGTGTTCATTACTGCAAATCGCTTTCATATTCATATATTTAGTTAGGTAGGGTTTTTTATGTGCAAATGATATATTTATATTTCAACAATAACATGGTTTCATTTTCAGTTAGATGTTAAATGAAGGAATGAATAGCTAAATTAAGGCCTGGCTTATTTATTAACATCCTGAATGCTATAGCTATTATTTAAAATATGAGTGACTATTTTAATAACTACAAAAGTCATCATGACTGAAATTCTTAATTTTCTTTGTTTTTAATATAAATTCACCATCTGAATGAATAAAAGGGTAAGTTTCTGAAGAAATTGTGGTGCTGTGTCAGAAGGTTTTGCAAGATAATCTGATATACTGACTTAGTTGATACTGTAAATTTGGCGCTGTAAAGAGTTTCTGATGCTCAGATGTCAGCTTTAGTACATCTTTGCAGTAGCTGTTATCAACTCCATTGATGAAACCAAATTACCTGAAAAGGTGGCTTCTGTAAAGTAAAGATTGAATCAGTCACATAATCTAGCCATTTGAGAAGCTAGTCAGTTGGATTTTGTTTTTTGTTGTTTTTTTTTTTTTCACTGATGGTACTTGCCAGTATCTTTGATTTATTTGTGTACTATTATGTTATTTTTAAAGGATAGAAACCTCCAGAAGCTTGAAATTTTGATGTTTTAATAAAGATTTTGACAAAAAAAAATATGTAGTGAAAAGCGTTAACCTCATAGCTAATGACCCACTTATGGAGTCTTTTTTTTTCACTAGTGCAAAACTATCTTTATTGAAAGATTCTGCAGTATTACTGTAAGGAAAGAGTAAGTGCTGGTCACTCTCTGGGTTTTAAGGGTCATTGATCTCCTCAAGGAAAATGGAATGTTACTGCTGCAATGGGTTCTTGATTCCACCTGTTTTTGGTAAATGATAGACTGCTTTCCTGAGCTTTAACAGAGAGATTCCCAAGAACATGATTATGATGATAAAACAACTTGATTGAACACTGGTATCAGGGAACATATCAGTTATTATAATTTGCCAGTGTTCTGCTTATGGATATCACATACTGATTAAATAATAATACCAATAACGGGAATTTAGCGGTGGCTCTTCTTGACCACTAATTCCAGGTCAAATTGTTATTTGAAATGTTGGTTTTTGTGGTGGGAGGGAAAACAAAGGTACAGAGAAAACCCTCAGACCAAGGACAAAAACCAATAACAAACTCAACTCAAATGTGAAATAAGGTCTAAGAATCAAACCTGGGCCCGCAGAGGGAGGTGAGCACTCTAATTGTGTACCCTGCTCCCAGGTCTGGTTTGAATAGCTGCATGTCTATTTACACTCTGTTGGTGCCTATAACTTAGGATCATCCTCAATTCCTCAACTGTTAGTTCTTATGGAAGTATACACTATTCAGCTCATAGTTTCAAATAGCTTGCCAAATAATGTGAGGAAAAATAACTTCCCATGGTTCTTTTACCAGGGCCACTAAAGAAATACTATTTTCCAAAACAAAATCTTCCTGACTGGAAATTAGGAACATTTTGATGAGGTTTTTCTGTTTTTTTCCATTCAAGGCACAGAATATCTTACTTTTAGAATTAGAGGAACTACTGTTAAGAAACCATTATATTATACTTATTATTATTGATCCTCTCCCCACTGACACAACACATTATGCTCAATCTCTTTCAAGAATCTTTAATTATATGACAGCTATTGCTCTAACCCTAACATTGTAAATAGGCATCAGGAAGTAAGCTGCCATCATCATGATTTAAAGGAGTGTGGCCAGAGTTGAGGGGTGTTACATTCAGGGTGTTATGAAACCCATCAAGAAAATTCTGAATAGCCACAATGTTAGAGTAGCTCAAAAACCTTTTCAGACTTTGGGGCATATTTTTGCCGAACCTGAAGACCCTGTTATGAAAGAACAATGAACCCACACTACTGATTCTATTAAGTGCAACAACTCTGATCACGAGTATATTGGACAGACCAAACATCAGTTTGGTACACATTTGAAAGAGCATCAAAAGCGGTCTTCTTCTGCAAAAAGGAAAATTCAGCTTTATCAGGGCACACATGACTAACCAACCATACAACTGGGTGGGACAAGTCTAAAATTATCACCACTTAGCGGCATTACCACTGGCGCCTTTGTCTGGGAGCCTGGCATACCAACTCCGCCCATGCTCCTATATATCATGATGATGGTGGCTTACTTCCTGACATCTATTTACATCTTGTCAGAAAAAAGGCTAGCTAATTAGTGAGTGTATAAAACGACCTCTTGTTGCAGTGTTTAGATCACCCCTGATGAAGGCACTAGACAGGAGTGTCGAAACTTGGGTCTAAAAATTGTAACTTTTCAGTTACATTCATTAAATCTTTAAAGCAGAGTAGCGTCAAACCATATGTGAAAGAATTTCTCTTTACAATATCAAACATACAAAAAAAAAATATAAATAAATTAGGGAATTATTAGTTGGTCCAGTACCAGATTCTCTAACTAACATCCCAAGAATTGTAAGGCAGACAGTTTTGAGAAATACAAATGAGATCTTGGAAGTGAAAGGGTTAAAAATAGCATAACAGTAGATATTGTATTTGGCCAATTGCGACATTACCTGAATAAATCAAACTTTTAGAGTGGCCTATGTGCACCTAATTCAAGTGTTTTGACTGAAAGACAAGTAAACAAGCTAAACGTTTATAACTTTAAAAATTTTTAATTAATTAAAATCTATTTTTTTGTTTTTCCATGACGGTTAGCATTTTCTGTATAGTGTAGTACCAAACAAATCAATTGTTCCAATGGCAACCTTCATAAGATCAGAAATTAATCTAGCACTAAATATAGCAATAAAATCAATTTGACTGGAAAATTTAAAAGTTTAACCAACTACTAGATAAAAATATATTTCTCACCTGGCCAATGGAGATTATAAATATATTTCTCCTCAAATTCTATTTTCAAAATGAGACGATGAAGCAACACACCTACAGGTGGCTGCTGGTCATAAAGAGAGTTATTGTTTAGGTGTCATCCCACCAGAGAGTCAATATTTATACAGTTACTTGTGACCAATTGGCGCCACGACTGACGTAGTAACTCTGGTGTAAACAGGATAGCCACGTGGCATAGGTCGAGCCGAGGAATCTCCCAATAAAATATAATTTTTTATTTGTCAGTATGGCAACAATTCGGTTATATTTCATCATATATTTAAACCAGAGAAACGTTTCAACGCTGAATTTATCCTTTCTTTAGCTATTTTCACCGTGTGCCGTTTTTTCCGAGTTCTTTAGCGCGTTCGGTGGCGGCGTGAACAGCTTTCATCAAAGCTCCTCGAAAACCACTTTCTTCGAGAGCGTTTATTCCAGCTATAGTTGAACCCCCTGCAGAACACACAGCATCTTTCAGTTCTCCTGGATGTTGTCCACTTTCTAACACCATTTTTGCTGCTCCAGCACACGTTTTAGCCGCTAATTTCATGGCTTCTTGGCGATTTAATCCGGCCCGAACAGCGCCGTCCGCTAAAGCTTCGATCGCCATGTACAGGTAGGCTGGCCCACCACCGGTTAGAGCAGTCATCACATCCATCAGTTCTTCGTCAACATCAAAGCTATATCCCACAGAAGACATCAGCTGGTGTACAAGGGTGTAATCTTCTTCACGGGCAAATTTACCGAATGTTAGAGCGGTGACTCCTTCGCGAAACTGCACTGGGGTGTTCAACATCATTCGAACAATCCGACTTCTTCCCGGCAAGGAATTTTGCATATAATCCAAGGTAACTCCAGCCGCAATGGATGCCAATAAATGATTTCTCGTTGCCACAGGAGAAATTTCTTTGAAAACATCAGGGAAAACTTTGGCCTTTATTGCGAGGAACACAAAATTACTTTCTTTCATTACCCACTTATTATCGTTACTCACGTTACAGCCCATGGTGCGAAACTGGGTCAAGTCTCTTTCAGACGGAGCACTGGCGAAGATTTCATTTGCCTTGATAACTCCAGCGGATAAAAACCCTTTAGCAATAACTTGTGCTGCTTTCCCTCCGCCAATAAAACCTAATGATGGTATTAAACTCATGGTGTGAAGGCTACCAGATTCCAAATGAATCTCTCGTACCTTTTCGCAAAATTTGTTCTACCTTCGCAACGACAAAGAGAATTGTGTGGTGATTTGTCCAATGAAAACTCGCGCATTTTCTTTGAAAGCCAATCACAGGCGCGATCAATAAAACAAAAGAACCTTTACAGGTCACAAAATTGTCACGCGAAAGTACTTTGGGAAAATAGTACCAACGGGTGAATGTTCACTTTTCGAGTCTTTTTTTTTTCTTTGGCCCTCAAAACGTTCTTTTTTCTCTCAGGAAGCGTTTGAAGGAACGTGATATGTCAACAACTAAAAGAAAAGGGGGGGGGGGGAGGTAAGGTTTAAGAGATGTTCTTTAAATGACATCTATGTTTTTTAGACTTTAAATCTTGCAGAAAGTTTTATTTCCAAGCTGATATGACAAATTTTGCATTCTTTGGCAGAAAACCTATTTTTCTCTTTCGTAAAAATGCTGGCGCGCGGATGTTTCTTCACTGAAAATGGATGACGTCAGAATAAGCGGGATTTGTTCTTTTGCAACAAAGAAATTGAATTCATTAGATTACAGAAAGGAATAAAAATCGTTAAAAAATTTGGACGGGAAACCAATTATTCATCTATCGTCATATGAACGTCATCGTCAAGGCAAATAGCTCGTATTGAACTTAACCCTGCTGTTCTTATGCAGATCGATGTGGCGGGCTTTATCCGTCAAAGATTAGTCAACCATTGTTCAACAGACATGGTGCACAATTATGGTGTTCGTTGAAAAATCTATTGATGAACAAGAGAATCAGGCGTTTTCTAGCCCTTTTTTAGCTTTTCCCTTCACAGTTGCTACAGATTTTTTTCTTTATCCTTGTGACGAGCGAAAAAAACTCTCTCTCTAGTTTCAGTATTTTGACGAAGTTGCTGGGCAGGTCTTTAAAAATTTACCCCCCTCTGAAGATCTAGCCGCAAGGAATTTTATTCGAGATAAGTATCGGTCATCAGTACTTTATCGACGCAACTAAGTTAGCGGGATGAAATTAATATCACCATCTGATAACAAAACAAAATTGTGCTTAGATAACTTTCCGGAAGTGAGCAATATATTTAATGACCTCTACCCAGTTTACAGTAGTAACAGAGGGAGATAAAATTGACTTATCATTTCCATTCAAAGAGACCTTGAAATAGAAAATAGGAGCTTCCTTTACGACCAGCGAGTCACTCAGTTCGGTGGTCTTTAGTCAATGAAAGTTTTTTGACGCGTGAAAATTGACGCAATTTTTTAATACGTAGAATCAATATAGATAATTGATTTTATTTTTCTGCTAAAAGAAAATAAGCAATTTTCAAGGTTACCTAATCCAGTTAATCCGAGGGACCATAAATTGAAGAGTGCATCGAGAAAATTTATCCTCTCTCCAGTCTCTTTATAAGTGGTTGACCTGAATAACCTTTAAAGCTCTCGGATAACATTTAAGTTTGTATCAGTTATTCGTTGTTAGTGATGTACATACATGAGACAGTTTTGACTCGATGTTATGATGATAACATGGATATTTTGTATCACTCTCTTGAACTGAAATATTTGTGGATTCTTTATACTGCTGGGTCGCAATGATGAGGAAACCAGCTGCAGATCACAATACGTTTTTAAGAAAGGCACAATGGAGTCTCGACCATTCTTTTTCATTTTTCTTTTATCTATCGGCTCTCTGAGACATCCTAATAACTTCAAATTTACTTCACCCTGCCTTCCTCTGGTTGCCTAACTCTAACTTTTTTCGATCACTTTCTCTCACTCTTGATACTCCTCAACTTCTTACTGACTACTTGTAACTGACTTGCACTGCTACTAAGTAAACAAGCATATATATTGACTAAGTGGGCATACTGACTAACTGACCTAAGAAGATTAAACATTACTTGTCAAAGCACTAACTAAAACACTTTTCGGTGCAAGAATCTCGCAAATCAACAACAATGTATGTCATGCGTCCGATCAACCAAATAAATTTTGACTGCGAAAGCCAAAACAAGAAAACTCGTGTGGGTCCAAAGCAAGGTTTTTTGACAAGCTATGCGCGTTCACGCTCTATTTGAAGTTAGACAAGGCAGTCATAAACTAAATAAGAAGTAATAAATGGTAAATGTAAACAAATGACTAAAATCATACTTAACTAACTAAATACTTCATAACATACAAATATCCTGAGGAGTTAGAATACTGGTATTTCTCTGACATAGAATTAGTTTCATGGCATTGTGTCTATGAATCACTTTTAAAGGGGCTAGGTCACATAGATCGTCATCTGGGTTATATATGGACTAATTAACTGAGCGGTCACATTGAATCAGGGACAAGGTTACACTGCATCGGTATCAAGAATATATGAACCATTAATATTTCTTTTGATCAGTATTAAATCTGACGTGCTTGTAAATCGAAATAGCCGTAGGCAATATGCACAAAATAACACACTGATAATAAATTTTGGTAGGGTGATATTTTAATATTCCTGAAAAAGTAGACAATCTTGTTTTGTGTGGTATTATTGTGGCAGAAGCTATGTTCGATTTCTGGCCAGAGATTACAAACAGTTCATAATCTCTTGTCTCTGGTTATATGGAAGATGTGAAAGTTGCGTACTTTCGTTGTACAGTTCTCCTGAAGAGTTTTAAAAAATAAGTAATTGTGTTTTCACAGGAGATTAAAAACTCTTGGTTTTCATTAAAAGGCTGATAACTACAAATTTCTTTTTACACTGAAGTCACGTAGACTTAATGAAGACCTAACGGATTGATGATGTTCTCATTTCCGGTTTGCAAGTCCATAAAATGCTGTAACCATCACCTCGGTTTTATAGTCATATAGATTAATAAAGAGTAATTAACTGATGAAAATAGATCAAACTTTGGCTTATTTTGACTTCTTTTGAAACTTGCGACGATAACTGTCTACATTTATTTGAGTAGTTAGATCTATTTTGGTGTCTTTTCTATACCCCACGCATTCCGTGGTTTCCTGGCTCGCTAATGCCATTGAGACGATACTGAGCTTGACTTCTTTTGAAACTTGCGACGATAACTGTCTACATTTATTTGAGTAGTTAGATCTATTTTGGTGTCTTTTCTATACCCCACGCATTCCGTGGTTTCCTGGCTCGCTAATGCCATTGAGACGATACTGAGCTCATCGATTTTGACGGAGTGTAACATCTACGGAAACTAACCACAAGAGTGCAAGCCTTGTTGCATCAATCGAAAATAAACTTTCCGAACTATGCTGACGTTTATCGATCAAAGCCTAGTTTTGCTAGCCTGGGAGCAGGTCCTCATTAATATTGACGCTTCGCATCTCCGCCCACGGGAAAAAAGTTGTATAACTGGACAAATTTCTGTCATTATCAACACTTAACAAGCGAACAAATCTTCGAACGCACTGCCGACAAAATCTTTTCTTTGGTAACAACCGGATTTATAACATAGCTGGTAAATTTGTCTACCCAAATTCGATTGCGCGAGCGTGCTTCGTATTCCAATTGTGCGCGCTCATGACGTCAGCAAACAAATCCCTCGAGGAAAAAAATTTTCCATCGTGTTGAAAATGTTATAAAACAATTGGTTCATACGTCAGCTGTGCGTTCATCAATATATGAAGCACTTGGGAGGTTTGGAAAGCACTCGAGAAGCTAGAGTTGCTCTCGGCTACGCCTCGAGCAACCCTTACGCATCTTTCGTGCTCTCCAAACTTCCCGCGTGCTTCATATCTCGATGAACGCACGCTGACGAATGAACCAATTGTTAAATATCGACTAAATAAACAAGGCGGTGTTAAAGTTGTCGATCATTTGTCGTATAAGCTTATCAGGTCGAACTTAGACGGGATTTGAAAGCTTTGACATTTTTAATGCGGGTGCAACAAACAAGAAAAAAAAATTTCTTAATTTTTCGGTTGATCTTTTCGAGACAATTGTAGTTTTGTCCACTGATGTCTCAACCATTTTTCGTTCTGAGATATATTGATCACTTTGACAAATGGTTGTATCACTCTCCTGAGGATTTCCGTCATGGCGCTGTTTCTCGATTGCGTCAGGAAGCAGGCTTTATGTTTGTGGATTGTTGCTTTAAAACTGGTAGACTAGAACTGGAAGCGAGTTGCGGAGTGGGTGTATTTCCTCTGGATTTCCTGGTAGGTTCAGCTTGCCTAAAGAACAGGCTCTCGCTTCGCGAGTTTCCGCAGGTTTTTGAGTGGCCCCAGTTTTATCGGGGCTAGGTGTGCAGTCAGATACATCTTCATGGTATTTTCGGAAGGTGTTAATTGGTCTTTACGAGTGCCATGCCTAAGTTGGCCAGCCTGGGAGTACACCTATCCCAGTCACTGTATCTCCTGAACTTTTTTACAGAAATGCTGCGATCACACTGAAAGATGGAAACGCAAAAAAGCTGTAATGAACGCGACAAGTTAAAAGTGAATGCATCAACAGGAAATACCCTGGAGTTTCTGCCTGAAGGACATTCGACTTGGGAGTTGAGCATTAAATCTACTCCGGTGGCTTTTTCCACCATTGGCGTGTTTGATCTCGTCTTGTCTGGGAGGTTTGCGATGTCAGACATGTCATTGTCGGATGTGGCAAGGCTTACGTTATCGTCATCGTTTCTAGGCCTTTTGGCACACGCAATTTACTTTTCGTTCTCCCTGGAATAATCAGATTCCGACGGGGATAGACCCTGGTTTCTTTTTCTCGAAGAGCGTGAAGAACCACCCATCGAACTGCATACTGCCACTTTCTTCAGGTAATGAGGTCGATTGAATACGTGTAACCTATATGCTGTTGTGCTCAGCTATTATGGATGGAATTCCACGGCTGTGATTGCATGGTGTATTCTCGGCTGAGGTTCCCTCTGTGTTCTGCTGCTGCACGGCTCTCCTCTTGTTGTGTTTTTTGATCGTCGGCACCCAGGCTTCTGAGATTTCTTTCCCACTGTACCTGTTGATGTAGTTACGGTGAGGTCTCATGTGAATTTCCTCTTTCACCCTGCGTGTGTAGAAATGGAATCACGATAAATAAACTTTACTTCGTTCTAGAGCAGGCGGTTTCCGGTGCTGTGGGCGTGCTCTGAAAAAGCGTAGGTCTGCGTCTTAGCGAGTCGGATATCCCTTTCGCGCTCCTTGATTCTCTTCTGCATAGATCTCCCAGTTCCGCCGATGTAGACGCTCCCGCACACACATCGAATGCTGTAGACTACGCCATCCTGTTTAGCCGGGTTTAAGGCATCCTTTAATCGTACTAGCGTGGTAATCTCTGACTTGAAAACAGCGCGTATGCCTTTTTGTTGTAGACAGTTGCTTTCTGCATCCGTGGTGAAGCAAATGGAAGGCTGTTGGTGGTTTAAATACTGCAGGAAGCTTTTCCGCTCTCACGTGCCAAGATGGTGAAGGTGTCATCTACATAGCATTTGCAGATCCTGGATTTTTAGGGTGATGATGTTACTGCTTGTTCTTCAAAACTCTCCACGTCAAGGTCACAGATAACAGCAGAAACCGGAATCCCCATAGCTGCGCCTCCTGTCTGTTCGTAAATTGATCCATGGCACTGGAAGTACGTAGGTTCAGGAAGTCCGTGATCTGACAAGGTGTTTGTGTGTGTATGAGCGGCCGTCACCACCAAAAATACAAGGATGTCAAATAGATCAGCAAATACAAAGATGGTGTAAGGATCAGCTGCAGGATAGCATAGCTAATAAAGGAATGGCATGGCCAAATTATAGACAGTCTAGTTTTCCTTCGTGAAACAGAACACCCTAAACATGAATAGTTTAGCCAAATGAGAAACGGTCTAGTAGCCCATGTTGAGTTGGAACATGAGATTGTGAAATGGACTAGCTCAATTACGAATAGCTTAGCACTCATTTACAATACAGTACTCAAACGGTGTAGCGTTGAGTTAAACGGCTCAGGGTAACGTCGAGTAGCACAGCGTACGCACAAACGGTGTAGCGTTGCGTCAAATGGCTCAGCTTAATGTAGAATGGTACAGCGTATACACATATGGTGTAGCGCTGCGGGAAATGGCTCAGCGTAATGTCGAATGGTACAGCGTACATAAAAACAGTGTAGCGTTGTGTGAAATGGCTCAGCGTAATGTCGAATGGTACAGCGTACATGCAAACAGTGTAGCGTTGCGTGAAATGGCTTAGCGTAATGTCGAATGGTACAGCATACATACAAACAGCGTAGCGTTGCGTAAAGTGGCTTAGCATAATGTCGAATGGTACAGCGTACACACAAATGGTGTAGCGTTGCGTGAAATGGCTCAGCGTAATGTAGAATGGTACAGCGTAGACACAAATAGTGTAGCGTTAGGTCGAATAGCTTTGCAAAACATCAGACGCTCTATCTGAACATTAAATTGCTTAGTATTACTTGAAATATTTCGATGTTGTGGCGAATCGTCGTGGCGTGACGTGAAGGCTATGCCATTCCATTATTAGCTATGCTATCCTGCAGCTGATCCTTAAGCCATCTTTGTATTTGCTGATCTATACGACGTTCTTGTATTTTTGGTGGTGACGGCCGCCAAGGCATCTCGCCGAAACCACCAAAAATACAAACCACAAATGGAACAGCGATCTGCTGGGGGTATGACGTCATCGAATGTGAAGACTGACACGAAACCATTACATGGCGTATATAGTCTTCACTTCGCTTTGCCGTAAAGCAGAGCCAATTTGGTAAGTTTCTCCCCTTTTTTCACTGCTGATATTGTACTTATTCGTTGCCGTTCATGAAAGCGTCAATTAAAATAGCAACGAGACTGAATTCTACCACGATTTGCCGGCCTCCCGGTTTACCACAGTTTGCACGCGTTGGTGGGCCTGAACATGTGAAATATGCGCCACAACATCGAAATATTTCAAGTAATACTAAGCAATTTAATGTTCAGATAGAGCGTCTGATGTTTTGCAAAGCTATTCGACCTAACGCTACACTATTTGTGTCTACGCTGTACCATTCTACATTACGCTGAGCCATTTCACGCAACGCTACACCATTTGTGTGTACGCTGTACCATTCGACATTATGCTAAGCCACTTCACGCAACGCTACTCTGTTTGTATGTACGCTGTACCATTCGACATTACGCTAAGCCATTTCACGCAACGCTACACTGTTTGCATGTACGCTGTACCATTCGATATTACGCTGAGCCATTTCACACAACGCTACACTGTTTTTATGTACGCTGTACCATTCGACATTACGCTGAGCCATTTCCCGCAGCGCTACACCATCTGTGTACGCTGTACCATTCTACATTAAGCTGAGCCATATGAAGCAACGCTACACCGTTTGTACGTACGCTGTGCTACTCGACGTTACCCTGAGCCGTTTAACTCAACGCTACACCGTTTGAGTACTGTATTGCAAATGAGTGCTAAGCTATTCGTAATTGAGCTAGTCCATTTCACAATCTCATGTTCCAACTCAACACGGGCTACTAGACCGCGTCTCATTTGGCTAAACTATTCATGTTTAGGGTGTTCTGTTTCACGAAGGAAAACTAGACTGTCTATAATTTGGCCATGCCATTCCTTTATTAGCTATGCTATCCTGCAGCTGATCCTTACACCATCTTTGTATTTGCTGATCTATTTGACATCCTTGTATTTTTGGTGGTGACGGCCGCCCATAAGACACTTACTTAGTGACGATAGTCAGTGGAGCTGTATTTAGTACCCAGACCTCCTCAGTTTTGCAAGCAGCTGCTTTTTATGCAGCCACCGCTTACATAGGACGTAAAATGTGGAAGAAACTTTTTAAGCCTGGCGGCAGCGACTCTCAAAATACACTAACGACGCTAATAAACGAGACAGGTGCTCCTAAAGAGCTTGCTGAGAAAGTTCTTCGCGAGTGTAATGGAGATCTAGCGCTCGCAAGACAAAAACTTCGGGGACATAACTCTTCAATGGCTGCCGCGAAAGACGAGAAAGTTCCAACTTCCTCTTCATCATACGCCGATGCTCCGCCACCTTATTCCGAAGCTGTAGAAGGAGCTATGGCTTCACCCACGCCACTTCCACCTCCGTATATCACTCAAGAGAAAGACACTCTTTTAGGTGAATTGAAAGCCGTGTTTCCCGATCATGCAGATGAGAGATGTTGTGCCTGTTTTGATCCAATTCGCCCTGACAAAAGCGAAGGATTTAGTGGAGAGATGATTTGGCAAGGTTTAAAGGTAACGTATGCTGTATTAAACAATAACAATAGACACACTCAAGCAGTAAACATTATGTTGTTAATTCCATTTTGATGTTCGATCTTTGATTCTAGATCGAGGGCTATTCGAACGAGAGCATTATCAGCCAACTTAGCTTAAGAGCCAAAGAGTATGCATTGGACTGGAAAAATATTTGAGCACATCTCTCTCAAAACTGTTACAATTTGAGTGATCGATCGAGTTATTTGTATTTGGTTTTTATCAGAGGCAAAAAATTTAGCCTCTAATGAACATTTATGATATTTGCTCAGTGTTTCCACATGACCATCTAAGATTGTGATTTAGTTAAGTTTTGTTAAAGTTCAGCATTTTCCAATCCTTGAGGGAACATTTGTTTGAAAACTTAACTCTTGTGCAGCGTATATGAAGGCTATTTTAAGATGAAAGTCAATTTTGAGCTTAAAAACCTTCCAAGACTTGAGGGCAGAAAAACATCATGCCAAGTTTATATGTTAGCTGCCCTGTGTTTGGTCATCGCTTAATATGCATGGCTGATGTCATAAGATGATTTTTTTTTGTCCAACATCTGGAACAAATATCATCCTACCGTTTGCTACTTTCTTGTTCTTACCACAATGAATCCCATGCACAAAATAGAACTGAGTAGACTCAGATTTTACACTAATTCTGTAAAATACAGTGGTGACTTGTTTTTCACAAGCATGAAGCTGATTTGCTCCAGACCTTTTGATTTTTGTGGTGAAAATTGATGTAAGTTTTGTGATGATGGTGTTGTATTACCCTAGGTTTAAAACAGGGCTACCATTTTGTTGGATGGTATTCTGTTAATGAAAAGTAGTATGTGGAAAAATTTGGATGAAGGGAAAAACATTACCAACAGATGTGATGAGAGAAGAACAGAACATTACAAAACAAAGCAAAATTGAGAAGTAAAAAACATTTCTTAAATTCTGTCAGGACTATGAAATTATATAAATCACTTTCAGATGAATTTAGTGGAAGACAGGGGATGCAGTCTTGGAAAGTCTTATTTATTTTTTTTGGTGTTTCTTTTTTTTTTTGTGTGGAGTGTGACAGCAGGGTAGGAGTGCAGGAGAATAGGATGCAGGATGGGTATGGGTGATGAGAATGGAAGGGGTTGGAGATGGGAATGGAATTGAAATGAAGAAATGTAAACATTTGTTAATCATTAATCTGGAGTGTTTTAAGTAGTCAGAGTCAGAGATGCCAAAGTCAGAAGAATAGGGCATAGGAATTAGTTTCTCCCCTTGTCCATGTGTCCCCCTCCCCCTACTTTTTCTACTTCCTCAAACTGTTCCATCTGAGTTGTGGTACCTTACGTTTAATAATTTTGTTTTTTTGTGTGATCTGTTTTCAGGCTTATCATTCTGAGTGCTATTTGAAAAGCAAGGGGCCAAAATGTGAACATTGTTGTTTTGCTCTGATTGCATTCCCTGAAAAAGGCCTGTCTGGAAGCTGGGGTGTTTATAATGGCTGCAAGTATCATGAGGAATGCTACATTCAATATGCAGGACCACGTTGTAGTGCCTGCTTTGATGTCATCCGTGTTGATCCTGAAAATGGCTTTTCAGGGAAGTGGATTAATGATGGCAATAAACAGTTTCATGAAGAATGCTACAAGAAGAAAATGTTTGTTGAAATGAGGGCCAAACATTCCTAGCTGGCACATGTACCTTGTTATGTACAAAGAAACTTCTTCACTGTACACAAGATGTTCTGGACTTTCTCCACTGTGTTCGTGTGAGAAGGGTTTTAAAGTTATCCTGCAATTTTACCAAAGAAAATTCTCACTTTGGGAAACTGGTTGTGGTGTTCACAACATTTGCACAATTTTTGTGCTGAATCAGGCCTATTATGAGTAAAGTCCAATGTTAAAGCCACTACAATAAGTTTCATTGTCCAAGTCTTTGAGAGATATTTAGTGGAAAATATAAACAGGATGTGGTGTACATAAGTTGTAAGCATTATCTAAGTTATATGAAGATAACTCTTAATTTGTTTTTGGTGATAATAATGTTAATGTATTTCTGAGGAATCAAATGTCTGCTTCAGTTTATAATTATGAGGAATTTTGATCCTGAATCCCAATGCCTTGTCAATGAAAGAATGTTATCAATGGTAATTGGTATGGACATTAGACAAGTACTGAAGGCTGAAATCGATTGTTCTAAATTGGATACTATAACTTGGGAACCATGATTTCCTTGCTTTATTATTATTCAGCACCAACAATTCAATATACTTTCATTATGAAATCACTATCACATACGTTTCCAAGAAAAGTGTAATTTTTTTAAAAATGTTTTGGCAGGAGACAGTTAAAGTGCTTTGCAGGGACACACCCCTCTATGTAGGCAACCAGAAACAAGTCATGCGGTTTGCTCTTGGCCAATAAAAAGGAAGGAAAAAGAGCATCAAATGGTAATAGTTTTAAATATAGATGTGTAAGGAATCCATGTACATAGCTCTTTTGAGTATAACTTGCATGTCACCAATAGAAATATTTAGAAACAGATACAAAAATGTATCTGTATAAGACACTGGTAAATAGAACAAGTTACAACTGTGGTGTTAAATTTTGGAAGTGTGAGGTCGTAATTTAGCTTCATGAAATAAAGAGATCAAAACATTCCATGGAAAAATTTTTGTTTGATATTCCAAACCACTAGCAAGCTTTTGAGAGTTGTAACTTCATAGGGTGTCTAACCCTTAACACCTTAACATCAGTATGCACATTCTCCATACTATTCTTCAGACAGTTCCTAAAATGGTGATAAGGGGAAGTTGTTTTATAATCAAGAGCTCCTTTAGTTGGTGATCATTTCTGTTGGGAGGAGAAAGTAGATCCTGGTCTCCTTTAGAGGTCAAAGGTTGAAGTGTAGTGGTAACCCAGATAGGCCTAATTTGATTTATTGTTTTTATGTGTCAGTCATCCAGTCATGTTATGGTACTTAGAGGATCAATTTCTTGGGAGCTATTCATATTTGTAAGCATCCATAGCCCTGATCTGATTTAAAGTTTTTATGTCTCGGTTATGTGGTCATGTTATGGTACTAAGGAGATTAATTTTCTTGGGATGTGTTCATGTTTGTAAGCAGCCATGATTACTATAAAGAGAATACAAAAAGTCTTCTGGAGGACAATTAGCATATCCTGCAGAAACAGTTGCAATCTTTTTAAAGGTCATTCTCTAGTATTGCACTGCACATCTTTGTAATGTATAATTTTCATGCTTGCTCATGTATACTTGGATTACAGATGGTTGCTTTTTCATAATGGCTAGAAAAACTTTTACATTTAAAGTAAATTTTCTTTCTCTTCAAAATATCATTTCCCTCTTTTGATTTAAAAAAACCCCTTTCTTTCATTTGCATAAGTGTGCCTCAGTGAAGAACAGAAGGCAAGAAATGTACCTGTACCTCTAAAGGTATCAATTAAAGATGGAACTGAGTGTGAATTAGTGACATTCCCAATAACATCACAAACTCTGTTTGATAAAATGGTCATCTTTATTGTTTCAAAGTATTGATTTAAAAGAATTATTGCTAGAAAATTAATACTCAGCCTAACAACTATATCAGAGATACCACTGAGTACTCCTATCCATAACTACATTTAAGACCTTAAAAAAATATGGTAATCGAGAATATTTCATCTACAATATATTTGAAAGAAAAAGAGTTGACTTGGTATTGGGCATAGTGCAAGTTGTACAAGTAAATCTTCTTTCATTCCTTAGCCAATAATAGTACAAAATTCTGCCCAGGAAACAATACAGGAATCATATCTGATTGTTACAAGGAGAAAGAAGACATAGAAGCTAATGGTTAATGTGTGAACAAAATACTACTGAGCTCAAAAGCTGCCTCACTGTAAATTAAACAAGTCTTCTCTATTTAAATAACAATATTAACCACAGCTGCCTTGAACCTCTAGGAGTGACTAGCACCTAATTTCTCTTAAATTGAATCAAACATGAAGATCATGAGAGTGAAGGAAACGTTGCCAACAAAAGAAGCTCTTGATTGTTAAACAAATTCTCCTTGTCAGTACCATGATACAAAATGTAAAGTGAACGATAAGAAAAATTTGCATACCAATGACAGGACCTAAGTATTTTATTGAACTGACAGAACCTAACCAAGTATACTTGTTTATCCTTATTAGTTCATGTGTTGAGAAAATGTGTTATGAGACCACAGGGTAAATGCAACCAAATTCTGTTTTAAAATAGCAATAAAAGAAACACTCCAATCACATATATCAACACTTGAAATTTTTGGCAACAAATGGGGACCAATTATTTCTTAATAAAGAACATTTTTTTATTTAAAGAGCTACAAATTACCACAGAAACAAAATCTAATTTCAAATGTAACCTTAAAACAAAACTGTACTCTCCCTGGATATTGTAGAAAAAAGAACTTTAGGATGGAAAAAATAATTACCCTTTAATAAAAATTAGATTGACCCTAATTATTCACTAAAATTTATAGATATTATGACAATATATAATTTAAATAAGTGATTAATTCACAATGCATCTAAACTTTCAACTTATCTGCTTATAAATCCTTTTTAATTGTTTTCACTCTATATATAAAAATAGAAGTTAATTACACCCATTGCAAGAGTAATTTTGTCATATAAAAATTTCCCACCAGGATAGGCTTTTGAGATGTTGGTTCTTCAGTGTAACAGAACGTTCCAAGTCCTCAGTCAGTGAAAAGAGTTAGTGAAAGGGAAAGTGAAAAACCTCATTCTAGTCGAAAATCTCCTGGGATACCCTTTGAGTGGTTAATTTCAAGTTTTACACATTCTACTTTTACCTTCCCCATTTTTTTTTCTTTTGCCTGACCCCTGCTGTTTTCCACACTCCAACTGTTTGCTCCATGGCAGAGAGCCTGATGTGGGCTGAATAAAGTCAAGGTCATGCAGTAAGTTTATCTTACTTTGAGTATAATATTGCTTGGATTAATCAAGTAATCCACCAACTAACGAAAAAAAAAATTGCGGCTGTGGACCTGACATGGTGATGTTCCCAAAAAAAAGGATGTGACACAACAGAAAAAAATGCAGAAAAATTTTCTGACATCATGATTTATCTTATGTTTAGAAAATCTTGTTATATATAAATCAACTGATCCATTTCCTTCCAATAATTGACAATATTTCCTTCCCCTTGGGGCAAATTGTTGACCCACTCAAGTTGTCTTGGTTTGTTTTTATCAAAGTTTTGTAAGTGTAATATCCACAGCAAAATTCTCTTTGTATGTTTTCCAAGTTTTGGGTTTGTGGGGATTATCCAACTCTCCACGACGTAGAAACAGTCTGAAAGAAAAAAGACACATCTTTATAACCAAAATATGTTTGATCTCAAAGTTCACCATTGACAGGCAAGGTATAAAACTACTTTGATGCTTCAGCTTCAAGTTTGAGAGCTTTGAAATTAGTGTGGACACCTCAGGACAGAAACGAGTCTGGATGGAAACCTTGTATTCACAATCTACCAAAAAGAATTAGTAGGATTTGAGAGGACTGGGAAAAATAATTCCAGTTTTAATTCCTATTATTATTAATAATAATATAAACGAAAAAATTATGCACATTTGATTGACTGAAAACAAGTGCCTTTTTCATATAAAACTTAAGCAAAGTTGCAACATGAGACAGTACAAATTATAAATAGCATGCATGCACTGTCAAAATTTGATCTAGCTTGACTTTCTGTAATACTTTTTTCAGCTAAATTACTGATAAGTAAGAACATGATTTCTCACGCAAGTTGGTGTACATAAGCTCTTGTAAATTTTCAAAGACTATGAATAGAACTTTCCCTATTGGCTCATGTAATTTTGTTGTCTTTGAAAGATTTACTTGTGCTTATTAACACCAAATTGCACTTGAAATCATGTGATTACCCATCAATAATAATTGCACTGATCCATCTAGAAAACTAGTACAGTTAAAGATCTACAGGGTTTTCTTTAAGGTTTTAAGTAGCCAGAGCTTTTTTAAAGGTAAATGGTTGTGGGTCTCGAAATCCAATATGGCAGACAAAATGTCATATTGTTCGTACTTTCCTGCCACGGTAGCAAGATTTGTCAAAAAGACAGTCCCCATCAGAACATTTTTAAACTAACCTTAAGTCAGAAGTCTTTTTTGTTTTCAGAAAAGATAGGCAGTGCAAATTTAAATTTTTATTGAGCCCAAATTTAGACCTGATAAACATCATCTCTGTACGGCTCTCAAAGCTCTCGACTTCTGAACCACCTTACCTGGAGTTCTCTATAAAACTTGTGTGAAACCAAAAGAAGAAAGCACACTGGTCATACCCTCTTGGAACATTCTGACAGAGGAAAATTTGACACAATTTGAAAACTTATAGGCATACACTCTTTAATTTTATTTTGCCAAGGTCTTTTTTGGTTTTAATCAGTAACTTTTAATAGCATTAAGAATTAATACAATTAAGATTTAATACCAGGAAGTTACAATTATACTGTCATGGACAAAATGTTAACACTACATCACACCAATCTAAAAGTGTGAACAATTCACAAATTAATTATCAGGGCAGAAACCCACTACCTGCCACTCCATTTTGTGCCAGCCGCTTTGTGAGTTGTGAGACAGAAAATATGTATTTTTGAACTGATTCTAACATCTTTGTCTAGATTAAAAAGGTACTCAAATGTGTCTGAGAATGCTAGAAATCCTGTCTCATGGAATTCAAATTTCAAATTTTTCCATGGGAGCATACTCCCAGACCCCCTCAAGGAGTGTGTTGCTTTGCAACATGCCATGCTTGCTATGCAAGCATAATTTTCATTCAGCCACTTACTCTGTTCAGATTATACATCTATTACATTCTCTGATGACAACCCTGCATTATATAATCTTCTTCATTTGAAGCAACCCACAAAACAAACTCTTTGTGATAAAAATGTTACATGATCCCTGGGCACTGGTCATAAAATTGATGTGTTTCCATGCCAATTTTGTCTTTAGTTAATGTGGATTCTGGAACAGTCGCAGCCTGGAGCTCCATTATAAAATTAATATAACAATGACATACTTACTGAATTAGATGAGTAAAACTTTATTTTGATGTCTCCTGTAAGAGTAGGGGATTCTGCCTCATAGAGAATAATAACTAATTTGTCAAGATCTCTGAGGTGCTGTATCTATCAGAAGGATTAAAAAATATATATCAAATTTTAATAGCTAGCAAAGAAAAATTTGAAAAAAAAGAAACAATTGGAAACAACAAAAGACTCAGGAAAAACTGTCTCTATCTTTGCTTTTTCACTGTTTTTGTTTTTTAAAAACTATAACTCATACTTAGAGGCTACCAACCTATTAACTACTAGGCTGTTTATTTTTGAGTTCCTTTAAACTTAAGTTGATTGATTGAAAAAAAAAAAGTTTACTTTAGCAAGCTGATTAATTGTAGCATATAGTGTGCTTGTGAGAATGTTTAGAAGTGAGAGTGAATACTATGTCAAGCCCATATCATTTGCATGTAGATAACCACAGAAATAAATAATTTATTTGAGTTGGTTTGCTTAGTAAGTGATAAATAAAAATTTTCAGATTGGTTTGATGTAATGTGCTGTCATGTAATAAAACAGGAAAAGTGCCACTCAAATGAAACATCTTGACCATCACCAGAAATGAAAAAAGGTGCCTTCCCCCTGCCGCCCCTCTAATTCAGTTTTCATGATGCTGTAATGTTTCTTTAATCACCTTTCTCCTAAAATTTTTGGAAAAAGGGCCTTGGTCTTGAAGAGAGGTTTCAAACTAACAAAGAAAAACACCTATGAAAATGGTGCAGAATTCTAATGCACTCTCTCACCTGTCCTTGACGTGAATTTGATAGATGTAGTGTCGTAACAGTGCTACCATTGATAATTATCTCAAATGAAAGATCTTTTCCATTTCCATCTCCAATACCTGAACAAAAACAAAAACAGAGGAAAAAATTGTTATCATTAATATTTACCTATTCATAGATTTTGTTTTCATACAATAATTTCATAAAACAATCAATTACATTTTTCACACAACAACAAGAATCACTAAGGCAAAGGTTTGTGCCATGGTCTTTTTATATTAGGATACCAATTTGTAAGCTTCATAATCTTCATTAAGCACTCAACTTCCAAAAAGACCAGGACAGAATTTCTCCTAACAATACCAAAACAATATCAAACAGAGAAGTGATGGAAATAAAGAAAATAACAATTGGGGATAATAAGTTGATCCAATACCAAATTCTCTGAACTAACATGATATCAATTGTATGGCTGCCAATACAGAATTATTAAAGAGATCTGGAAGTGAAAGTGTTACTGTAGAAATCAATGAAATGGTGAAACACTGTTGCTCTACAGAATCAAACCAGTTTGAAAACATAATTTAAAGAGCCCTTCAAAAACTCAAAGAGATCACACATTCAGTGTATGGGAGAGTAAATGATTGATTTGTTGACTGAATTTTCTATTGTACCAAATTGAATGGTAATCACTGAAATTTTCCATTAAGATATTGTTACAAGAATAGACATTTCCCCTACCAGATATTGCATCAATCTTGATGTTTTTAATACGATATGACACAGAGGCAGGAAGTCGACCATTTAACTTGGTAAACACTTGTTCCAGGTAACCTACGAAACGACTCTGAAATGACACAATATTAGGGGAAAAAATGTATCCAAAGGAATTCTTGACAGAAACTTTTTAATACCAAAATCAATTCTTGGCATCTGTGATTAAATAAAATGGAGTCTTTTCATGGCATGGTTTTTCACCTTACATTTAATTTGTAATTCATACACAATGCACACTAACCTGACTGGGTGTCTGCACTCCTTGAAATTTATTTCCTACTGAATAATCAGTTCTCCTGTGCCCAAAATATTCCAGGCTATGCTAAAAAGAACCATAAATAACCCATAGTCATGCATTGAAAACCAAGCAGAACATCAAGATGACTCAATAATGACTAACTAATTTCTTTAATTTGTTTATTTATTTTCTTTGTTGGGGGGGGAGGCCCAGTAATGAAGGAACATTACCTTAGCCTGCTCAAACTGACCACTGGCAATAAGCCAAGCACATATTGCAGTCCCTGTTCTACCTAAAAAAAAAACAATTGCATACAATAAGAACTATAATAATAAGAATGAAACTAAAGGGAAAAACTGTGAAATACCTGTAACAACATTGAAATATTGTAGATTGTGGGCACCCTGAGTTACAGTTACATGACACAAACAGGTTAATAAATAGTGAGAACTCAAGGATAAAAGGTTACATTTACTGTGTTGTAAAACAATTTGACACATTTTTGGGAAATTGGATTTCAGACTCAGTTACCAGTAACTACTCTGATCCAATTTTTGCCCCATGATGGTACAGGAGTACAATAATTCCATAAAACAACAAAGAAATGCTGTATTTTTCACTAATTTTCCTTTTAAGATGCTGTTGAATATAATTCAAAGTGGGTCTCAGACTATGATGAAACCCTACCTTATGGCCACCCCAGTACTACAGTCACCTCGTTCTTACAGCCACCTTTTCATGACACGGGAAAACCACCATACATTTTCTTATAAAAACTCCTTGTTAACAAAGCCAACAGCCACATTTTAAAACCCCAAACAGTAGAATCCTTGGTGATAATTTCACTTTGTTAATACTGCTGCAAGCACTGAATTTAGAAATTCAATACACCTGTGATATGTCAATTCTATTGATTTTTGTCATTTACTAATTGAAAAGCTAATTTAATAAGAGAGAAGCAACACTCCTGCTTGATTTCATTACAAACATGATAAATGAAGTAGATCTTGATGTTAACATTTGCTTAGGCAACTTGCGATGTGGCAATAAGTAATTTGATCCTGCCCTGGTGGTATGACCACACTGTTAATACAGTCAATTTGTTTTAGCCCACAGATGACAGTTTTGATCTCAGGCAATAGGAAATGGTAGCATGTCAGTCAAATGAAACAATTTCAAAATCACTTCTTCCTGCATTCATCAATCAGATGTGAAAAAAATACATGCTACTTGGCATTAAAACTGTGCTGCAATTGTAAGTTGCTTTCACCTTTTCCTCCTTTACAATGAACAGCAATAACATTTTTAGGATCTCTGTCAAGCCATTCTCTCACATTGTGTGTAAAATATAACAACTGACTGAAACAAAGAATAAAACAACCACATCCACAGGTAAGATCTCTAGGATATTTATCAATAAGTTGAAATTATTCTGTCATGGTTGTCATTTGGCACCATACCACAAAGTCACTAATTTGACCATAACTAAGAACTCTCTGAAAGTTCCAAAACATGAAAAAAGTATATTTATTTAGTAATGGAACCTCGCAATCACCAATGGGGTTATAAGTGAGAAGTGCAGAAACTAGCACACACTTTCTCTCCAGTGTTTCACTGGCTACCTAAGTCACCAACATATGGCCAAAAATTTATTTCCATTACCAGTAAAACTTAATATAAATTATATACTAAGACCCAACAAAGTGTATTTTAAAGAAAAATTCTAGAAATGTAAAAACCTTGACTTATGCATACAGCTGCCTCATTAATAAGGCTGTATTGCGTTACTCAGAATTACAAGTGACTAACTTGGAAGTCTAAGACTAATTCCCTTTTCAAAACAAGCCAGTGACTGCCTGAGTTCCTCTGCCTACTTAATAACATGTTGCTGGTTACTCCGGTCAAAATAATTACCTTTAAGCCCTTAATGAACTTTTCATAGTCAACTACTTTTGCAGAGTGTGTCACCTACATCAAAACATTTTTAAACTCCTTCTGAACTAGTTAAGTGTTACATGCCATTAGTCTGGTTTAAAACCTCAGTTCTCTGATCACATTTTTATGGCTTGAATACAGTCCTCTGAACATGCAGCATAATTTTATTTGACTTTTAGTTCAAACAGTAACAATGCACTATCTAATTCTTTATCATTTCCCTTTAGTATCTAGGCAAGGAGAATTACTTTTCGGGGGATTCATTACTACTCACAAACATCACACTAACCTAAGCCTAGGTACATTGTGATCATCAATGAGAACTCGCTCCACTCTGTTATGGAACACAGATGGATCATAGCTTCTCTCACCTATAAAAAAAATATTATTGGAACTTCTTTCAATTAATTTTAAAAAAAAGTCAACAAAATGTGCTGTCACTTGATACAAGAATTTATGAGATGGTTATGAGAAAAATAAACACCCTTTTGGCTGGCTGTTATATTGGCTGATAATGTCATTGGCTGGGAGATTGTCCTCAAAATTTCACATTTGCCTTGAAGCTTCCCTCCTTGGCCATGAAGAGGTTTGTTTACTAAACACGCAACCACATTCTCAATGCTTAAATTACCATAAATGTAGAGAATATTGATAGTTGGATTTTGGGAGAAGCCCAATCAGTGACAATATGCAATCAGATGCCTTAACTGGTACTTAAGTTATCAAATGTCACAATATCAATAACTAACATCTAACTATCATTGCAACTTAAATTCAGCATAGATGTGGTACAAATATGTCTTCACCTTTCAAAAAATTTGTTATTTTGTGCACCTTGAAGGCTCACCTTACAGGTGAACTTTCAGGTTGCACCATTTTAGATACATGCAAATTAAAACTAAAGTTACCAGTGCTGGGAGGAAATTCACTCAGGTATGTATAAAATGAATGAATTAAGCAGCCTTTATATTAATCTCACTTACTACATAAATTGTAGACTTTGTAGTGGTCAGGATGTTTTGTATCCAAGAATCGCACAACTTCCTGTGAACAAAAAGGCAACATGCTTACTTCCCTAAACAATAAAACATCATATAACAGTGTTCACAAAGAAGTAAGTTAAACTGAATTGAGCACTATAAAAACACACCAACTAATCTATACTGCCAGTGCATAAAGAGATCTTGGAAAAAAGGAAAGCACTTCTTTTTTTTATATGACATGTACAAGCTCTATAGATTAACAAAGAAAATCTGATCAGAAAGGAGAGGTCATGGGTTCAGATCCTGTATTGGCCTTAATTTTTTTTCTGGCCTTGTTTTCACTACTGCTTTTAATTAGCAATTACTGTGAAGAACACTAACATATTCACTTCTTTATATGCAGTTCACATAATTATATGATTTTCATATATGTGCAGTCTGATCACTAGCATTAACCCTTTCACTTCCAAGGTCTCTTTTAAGTAGTGATTCTCAATACTTTATAGCATACGTTGCACAATTTTTAGATATGAGAATTTAGTACTGGATCATATGATAATCCTCTAACTCACATTTTCCTATATTTTTATCACTTGTGCACATGATATTGTATAATTACTGTAGTAGAAAGTATGTCTTAGCAACCACTTGGAGTGAAAGGGCTAATTAATAGCCTGTTAGAGCTTTATGATAAAATAAGTGGTTCACTTACTGACACTGGATTACGGTATAACTTGTGTTTTCCAGACGATGGGAATGACATGGCTATAACTCTCTCTGAATTTAAGAATATAATTATGATAACTTAGCAAAATTAAATTTTACTAGTTATCTACTTTCTAATTTCTCTCTGCATGGAAAACTCTAATTATCCTCATCATAACCAACTGTAATTATTATTATAAATCTACTTGTGTTCTATCCAAATTCTGCAATCTGATTAGCTATGCTATTTGCTTCCTATTCCATTAACTTAAACACCCTAACATCAGACTGCACAATCTCCATACTCAGGGCATGAAATTGCACCTAATACAGGCGCCAATGCCCCTAAATTTTTCACTTTGGCGACCAAATCCTGAAAGTTAGTTGCCAAATTGGCGACTAGAATGTTTCATCATAACCTTACCAAGAGATATAGTGAATTAAAAAGATTTGCAAAGATAAATCCGCCGCAAACTTCCTCTTTAAGTTTGTTTCCAAAACGTAGCACGTGCATCTCGATCGATAACTAGATGCCATCTTGGATTTAGATGAGCCTGAACTTTGTATATCATCCATCCTAGTGTCCACTTTGTAGCATGTTAAAGATCTTTTCCCTAACTTAATTTTGGAGGGTCTATCTAGAACGCTGACAGCGTAAAGAAAGATTTTGTTTGTCTTTGAAAATGGTGACCCACTTTTTTTGAATTGGCTACCACTTTGAAGAATTGAGGAGCCAAGTGGCTATCAGAAAAAAAAGTTAATTTCACGCCCTGATACTGTCCTTGAATCATTTCCCATGGAACTGACAACAAGAATTTGTTTAACAATCAAGAATTCTCATGACTTTTGCATTTGACTCAGCATTGACACTGTAAGGAGAATTTAGATACCAGTCACTCTTCAGAGATAAAGGGTTTACCCTTTTACCCCTAAGAGTGACCAGCTGTTAATTTCTCCTTACAATATCACCCCTAAACCACACATTAAGATCACCAACTGAAGGAGCTCTTGATTGTTACACAAATTCTCCTTGTCAGCTCAGGGAATGTAGAGAGAGCAGTATGGAGAATATGCATACTGATGACAGGGTGCAAAGGGTTAAATAGTGAATGGACTGAGTAGCCTAACAGTGTGTGGACGTAAACAAACTAAAATTAAAATAACATGAGCCTGCCTTTTGGTTATTTTTTTTTTGATCTTGTGAATTAATAATGATTAAAAACATGAAGATTATTCATTCTCAATATATTTACAGATTATTTCTGATGTTTATCCTATTTTAGAAACAAACAGAGACTAAGTTTCTAGGTTACCATAAGTGATTAATAATAAAAAGTTATATTTTACAGACCTGTTACATATGTCAAGTCTAAATCAAAACCATCCTTTTGATATCTCCTTTTGTTCTGTGATATCTAGTTTCAAAGAAAACATAGGGAAAGCACAATGTTATTGAATATGTAATGAGGACTGGAGTCTTCTTATTCGCTGTTTTTTTTTTCAGAGGAGGGGGGGCACTTAACATTTTGTAACAAGGGGGGGAAAAGCAGAGGTTAACAATATCTCCACTGGCAATGTTTCCTACAGTAACTCCACAAACCATTCTTCTTGTAGCTCTTTCAACTTGGTCTTTTCCTGTGACAATTCTAATAAACAGCAATATTCGCACAAGACGAGCAGTAATGATGAGTCTGAAACAGAAGAAAAAAAAAACAAATGATTGTTTATAGTAAACTCCTCATCTCCACTTTGGATAAATATAAAGGAAAAGGAAAGACCAGCTACATAAACTTAAAAAATATGAGAGGTGTATGGTAAACAATAAGAAGGAAGAATTGAAAAAAATTAGGAAAATAAAGCATTTTCTAGACACTATAGCACATGACGAAATTAAACAAATATCTGGTTAATGGAAAAAACAATAAAACAACCAAGTGTTTTACCACTAGGCTCTTTAGTTACATCCAACAAATAATTTTACTGTGATTAGATCATTTAGATATTCAATTCCATCAAATCTTTTCTTTTTCACAACTGAAACAGCTTGGTTCCTGCCTGATTCAGAATACTCACTTTGCATAGCCATGTTCCTCTAGTGTCAGGAGAGAAAAGGTTAGGGTGAGGATGAATGAAACTACAACTACTATCAGATCTACGATTTCTAGCCATCTGTGGAAGAAGGCTCTCCTGCAACAAAAGAAATTAATTCTGTGGGTGAAACCACTAGAAAAAGTAAAGTGAGTGACAAAGCCCAATGCAACAATTAGAAAATATCTCATGCAATTGGTAATGGTAAAAGGACTGAGTGGAGTCCAATTTGGATTGCTACCATACAAGTGATTACACAAAATCAGATGACTGTGAAGCAGAGGTCTGATTTATTACTTAAGAGCATGCACATGACGCAAACTGTCCAATTACACAAGCCTGATGCATACACTGCCTTATCAGTGCTCAAATCAGACTGGTGATAACCAATCATGTTCAAGAATTTTTTTATTATAGTTTTGATCACAGTTGTAATCATACACATAAATAAATCAGAGTTCTGCTTCAAGCTCATTCAATTTCCTTTCTTGGTTTTACTATGACTATAAATTTGTGATAAAAAGGAAAACTCTCAAATCAGTTATGTTGGTTGTTAAACACTAAAATCAGCCACTCAAATAAACCCTTTGAGAGTATTGTGCCCCTAACCCTCTACCCTTTAACATCACTATGCATATTCTTGCTTCTATTCTCCACACATTTCCTATGGTGCTGACAACGAGAATCTGTATAACAATCAGGAGCTTGTTTAGTTAGTGATCATTTCCTTTATTCTTGTGACCTTGACGTGTGATTCAGGGGTGAAATCGTGTGGAGAAATTAGATGCTAGTCACTTCAGTGTAAAATAGTCAAGTAACTTAAACTCACCCTAAAGCAAAAATCCTTAGAAGGACCTCTATTAAAAAGTAGGTGACTATTAAAATGGATAATATTTCCAGAGTCTAGAATGCAAACACAAACATGGCATAAAATAATGATACAAGTGGATTGATCATTATCATCTTTTCTTAAAGCAAATAGAGCCATACAATGCAATTGATACACGACTATGAAGCAATGGTCCCATTTCCATTAAGCTTAAAAAAATTCACAAGTTGAATTCAAATTTGGTTACAAAGTATGCTAAATTTATATCCATCTGAAAAGAGTAGTTTATCAATTTATCTATTATGTCAAATTAAGCAAAAAAAGAATATTATACAAACACGAATGGTTGCAAATGTATTTACAAAACCAAACAAATAAAACCAATTATTTTCATAATAAATAATAGTAATAATAATAATAATAATAATAATAATAATAATAATAATAATAATAATAATCTAGCAGTGGACATTCCAAGAGGTGGCTCTTCTTGTTGCACTGAATTTAGTTGAATTGAATTTAGAATGTTGGTTTTTGCACAGGGAGGAAATCCAGAGGACCTGGAGAAAAACCCTTAGAGAAAGGATAAGAACCAACCAAAAACTCAATCCACATGTGACACACTGGGTCACAGCAGTAGAAGACAAGAAGCCCTGCTACCCTAAATGAATTCAAATAACTTGTAGTTCTGGGAGATTCCTGTTCAACCCAATGTTCCAGGTGCCTCATGATTAGGTTAACTTTTCACCCTTTCACTCTCACATTCTCATCAGAAATTCTCCTTACTGTCTGTTATGCAATTCTTATGATGTTAGTTTGGAGAATTTGGTTTTAGATCAATTTATAATCCCCTAATTGATATTTTTATTCGTTCTCACCTTTTGTCTGCTTGACATTGTATTGATTTTAAAAAGAGAAATTCTGTATTGGTCACATGCTGGAGTTACTGGGTTAAATACTAGGTTATAGTTGTGGTGGAATGAGTGAGCTCTCCAATATTAGTATTATTAACTATTACAGAACTAAGATCATATGGAGTGCCAAAAAATGGTGTTGAAATATACTTCTTGAAAGAAAAGTTTATTTTTTAATACTTCACTGCCAAATTTTACCTTCAAAGTTCTAAGTTTTCTTATACAAAACATAAATATTACAATTATAATTTACCCTTTGATCTTTTCCTGCAGTGGCCAAGTCAACTATGACAATAATAATATCTGCTAATACCAAAAGGAGACTGAATACTCTACCAGACAAAATCAAATCAAAATTAACAAAACATGCAAATGAAATAAAAAACAATTAAACAAACAAAAAGTTTGAAAAGAAAGAGGTTCCATTAACAATAAATAAAAGTAACAAGAAATCATTCATCCTTCGACCAAAACTATTGGCTTAAATGAGAATAAAAAAAGCACTGGTTTTGTGTGGTAATTTTCTGTTTCACACTTTATTACCAACCTAACAGAAAAATGCTCCACAATTCTTCTAAGGGACGCTCGGAATTTCCTGTAATAGGAGGAGAGAACAATCAGTAAGCAGTGAAAAAATAATAACAAGAAATTAAGCATTGACCCTTTAAACCCTAAGAGTGACCAGCATTCGACTTCTCCTTACAGCAATAAGGAGCCTACCTAAGCAAACCCTAAGCAAAACCCGCAGATAAGACTGGTGGCAAAGGCTGATGTAACCTTTCATCTTTGGAAACTGAAACCCAAGATAAATTTTACCATGAGAAAATTTGGGTAATTTTCCCTGGTTAATCTATTTCCCCATAGTAAAAGTCTGTGGTGTGACCACAGCTAATGCTAGCAGATACATCTTAAATGAAAAGTCACACAATGTAAGGTACACTTTAGATGAGACACTTCATGTAGAGCTTACTTTTTGTTCTGTAAACAAAGTTTAAGCCTGCAAAATACTTTCAGCTATTCTAAGTCAGTCTGTTCATTCTGATCTTTACAAATTTATGTAAAAATTGAACTGGGACAAATCGTTTGCATAACTGTCACATGTAGATCACACACAGCAATCTTTTTTCCTTTTTTTTTTGGAACAATTACCTTGCAGTAAAATATTTAAGAGTGATAAAATTTTTCTCCATTTACTGAAAATGTGGTTCTCAATAAAACTTTTTTTAAAATAAAAATCCTTCATTAATTCCGACAACTAGATCAAGGTTTCCCTCCAAATTATGCCCAGACAATGGCTCAAGCTGAGCACTAGTCTTTTCCAGTAGATCAGTCAATGGAACCCAATCAATAATTTAAACAAAAAAAGCTGTAGCACCACCTATTACACAGATAGAAGCAGTATGAGAGTAGATAAGTTTTGAATGGTTATGTTGATATTGACATCTCTTCAGTTGTACAATTTTACTCTGATACTGCTAGGTACCCTTTGTGAAAGAAAGATGGGACTTACTTTAAAGAAGAATAATTATTATGCCTGTACTAATATTTTCAAGTTTGGTTTTTTGAATTGTTTTGTTGATATGTGCAATTCACTCCTATTTCCAATTAGATCAGTGTCTAGTATCTCGAGTTTTAAGTGTGGTGTGAGGAACTTCTTAATGAATAACTCATAGACACATATTTTAGAATTTTTATTACAGATTTTAATTGATTATATTAATTGTATTTTTAAACTTTATATTTAGTTAGGTGGTCTGTCTGAGGATGGGGTCTTGGACTCTTTTACAGACCATCCTTATGGCATTTCCTTTGTTATGGGTGATTACTTTATTTTGTCAATTGCCATTGTAATTGTAATAAATAAATAATGTTTATCACAAAGCAGAAAGCAATGTCCAATGAAACGCAAAAAAAAGTTATTTTCCAAATGAGTAATTTTATATTCTTGGACGAAACGTCAATTAGTAATTCTCAAAATTAAGTAACCTTACGAAAAGGTTGAGGCTTATGACAGTTTTAATTTGAAGATATCTAACCGTCGTGATGCAAAATTATTTCAAGCCAGCTCATCAAAGTTCACTTTGCAGGTCACTCATTATGTAAATTATTGATAAGGAAATGAACAGAGCGCAAGTGTATCACTGCATTAATCCGAACAACTTACGTTTTAAAGACTAATAAATCGCATTGTAGACTTTCATTTGTTTAATCTCGATTGTTTCTGTATTTTGAGATTTGATGGTTATGGTA